CATAATGTTGAAATAATATTGAGCTGGAGGACTGCTTACTTCGACTCCTGGGACCCTCCTTTTATGAGGAGAAAGAGGAATCAGAGGAAGAGTGCTATTCCTAGGTCTTCCTGCTGTGTAGACAGCGCCAAAAGCCAAAATAAGCTATTTCAACTTAAGCTACGCAATTGACATAGCTGAAGTTGTGTAGCTTATTTCGACTGATTACTGTGTGGCCCATGCTCTCTCAATACTTACAGCCTAAGCACCAGGCTCTGGCTTTAAAGAAAAACATCCGTGCAACATGTAGCAGATTCTAATCACACCAGTGGCTTTCATCCCTCTAATCTTTTGCTGTTGTACAGCAGGTGGCTGCTGGTTTGTGATAGGCTTTCACAGACCCTGCAGTAAACAGGACAGAGATTGCTACCAGTTTCTTGTCTTGTTTTGACCATACCATTCCAGAAATCAGCAAAATGTCAGCAACATTCGGCACCAGCTATAGCTTGTTATAAAGGGTGTGACCTAACATGTCTAGGACAGCCCTCACTGCAAATGCCAAGGTCAAGGCAGGCTGAGAAAGGGGGGCAGATACCATCAAGATTGGTGTGTAACATTGAAGTTAAACTCCCCAGCAGTCAGAAACTCTGCTTCTGATTCCCACACTGGAAATCAAGAACCACCTCCTTCCCCAAGGGAATCATACAGCCCCGTTATTGCATTCCAGTCCTCTGGCTCTCAATCGGCACGTAGATCCAGAAGAGTGAGAAATTATTTAAAAAACCCCGCCTACATATACAAAATGTCCTTGTGACTTCAAAGAGCCAGCCATGTTGTCAGGTCAGTAGAGGTTTGGATATTGCCTCAAATAGAGATAGAGATGTTCAATGCTAAAACAGTCACATACATAAAAAGAGTTTAAAGTCCATAGATCAATTCCTTGCAGTACTGTCTTGAAAGTCCCCTCTGGAATACACCTGCAGTTTGAATGGATCTTTCAGTCCTTTGTTCAGAGCTTCATTTGTAGAGAGGTTCCACCTGAGGTAAAAAGCAGGAAGGAAGGACAAAATCGAGAAGATGCAGCTTCCCTTTTATAGACTGTTGCCAGGCAGCTGGCAGCTTGTATTTCCTCTTTTCATAGGCATGCCCCTACATGCCTGGCTGAGTCATAAAGTGTACTGTAGAAGATTATCTCAGGGGATCATCTCGTCCAACCCCCTGCTTTGTCAAGCTTGGCCTTGAGAACCCCTAAGCATGGAGATTCCACCACATCCCTAGGTAACTCCCTTCTAGTGCTCTACCACCCTCCTAGTGAAATAGTTTTTCCTAATATCCAACCTAGACCCCTCACCGCCGACTGGAACTCCTTGTTCTGTCATTTGCCACAATTGAAAAAAGCCTCTCTCCATCCTCTTTGCAGCCCCGTTCAGATAGTTGAAGGCTGCTATCCCTCAGCCTCTCCTCATAAGTCACGTGCCTCAGCCTTCTAAACCTTTTGTTGCCCTCTGCTGGACTTTTCTAATTTATCCACATCCTTTCTGTAACGGGAGGTCCCAAAACTGGATACAGTATACCAGATCTAGCCTCACCAGTGCTGAAGAGAGGGGAATAGTAACTTCTCTCTGTCTGCTGGTAATGCTTCCACTATTGTAGCCCATATGCCATTAGTCTTCTTGACAACAAGAGTACACTGTTGACTTCTCATGCACTGTAATCCCCACGTCCTTTACTGTAGAACTGCCAATTAGCCAGTAGGTCCCTATCTATGACCATGTATGGGATTCTTCTGGCCTAAGTGCACAACTCTGCACTTGTCCTTGTTGACCCTTGTACAGTTGATGTTCCTCAATGAGCCATCAATCAGTCTAGGCAATGTTAATGCCAAACTGTCTTGAGATGTCACCCAGAGGCATAGCAAAAGTTTGAAATACAGACATACATTTATATCTATATATGTCATAGCACAAATGTGATACAAATAAACAAGATTATCATACTTGGCAAATCATAACATTTGGCAGATACTTTATACGGTATATCTGGCATAACTCATTGCAGTCTTACAATATTGGTGTTTGTAATATCCTAAAGTGCCCTCCGATTCCATACAGAATCAACACACTTGTTTGTCTAGTCCTGTCCCTCTGGAATAACTCTGCACCTAGCACTGAAGTTACTGCATTTCATATCTCCCTTTGGTTAAACAGCTTAACATATGTAAAAATCATTTGGGGAAAAAAACTTAATATGAACAAAATGTATAGTTATACAAAATATGCAATACATATGTTGTTATACATGATACTGGCTAACACTGTAAACCCTACAGACTTTTTATCTGATTCCATACACATTTGAAAGACAGAGGAACTGTAGTAGCCAGGCGTGGCATGAATACCTAGAGGCTAGTTGGTTGAGTATTTTTCTCAAGACTTGTCATTCTCTCCTACACAATGGAGTCATGAAAAGGTTACAGCATCTAACTATAGAACTGTTTTAGGGTTATACAATTCAGTATGAAAATAAAGCATTCTAAATAGCACATACTGTACTTATTCAGTATTAGCGGCTGTCTTATTCTGGTTACATAAACATATCCCTTTTAATCACAGTTATAGCTGCAACAACTCCCTAGCTTTGATTAATATATTTTGCTTGTGAGAGCTGAATGCATCTGTTTTCTGGTAGTTAACACTAAAGCCATTTATATTCCTGGTTAATAGTTCTGTTTGTGAGAGCTGATTTCCCAGTCTGTTTGCAAAAGTCAGCACCAGAAATCTTGACACAAATTTTTTTCCTTCTCTGGGAGCTGCCCCCACAGCATTTACCAATGGATGCTGCTAAATATGCAAGTCTTGTTTTCCCATTTTGCCATTGGCCTGGCTGCAAAGCATCATGGGGCTGTGGCTTAGTTTGGTTAGCAGTAGATAGTCCTTGTTAAGCTATTGGCCGGAGATCACTGATCCCCCTTCTCTGAACAGAGGCGTCAAGTGGTCAAAGGTCAGCCTAATATTCCAGTAATGAATATAATTGGTTTATCTTTTCTCTTAAATTTTAGAGTCAGTCTGTTCAGTGCATACTTTTATCTCCTGGCAGGGTGTTCATTTTGTTTTGTTTGTCACCTTAAATGCACATACAAGTTGTCTCTTTCCTGAAAGGGCAGGATGAATTGTTCTAAACTGCAATACATTGGAGCCTTAACCTTTATAACTTTTAGCATGAAAATTGTTTGGAGCAGCTAGTGAAGAAGGAAAGCCAGCTAGTGAAGAAGGTCCCAGGCACAGTGTTAGCTGTTAAAATCTCATGTCTACAGATACATTAAAGTGGTATGAGATACCTTAGTTATTTGCTATGGGATGTATCAGCAGGAGTTGTAAGCAAGACACAAGAAATAATTCTTCTATTCTACTCTGTGGTGCTTAGGCCTCAGTTGGAGTATAGTGTCCAGTTCTGGATACACATTTCCGGTAAGATATAGACAAATTAGAGACAATCCATAGGAAAGCTACCAAATGATTAAAGGTCTACAAATCATGACCTAAGAGGAAAGACTGAAAGAAACTGGGTTAGTTTAATTTAGAGAAGAGAAGACCGAGGTGGAATGTGATAACAGTTTTCAAGTACATAAAGGGTACGCCTACACAGCAGAGATATTTTGGGATACCGAGGTCTTAGAAACGCGCCCGTTATTTCAAAATATTTTTTGAAATGATGGGTGCACTATTTCGACATCTCTGTAAACCTGGTTGCATGAGGGTCAAGGGATGACTTGAAATAGTGCGTAGACACATCCAAAATATTTTTGTAAAGATGAAGGGGATAAATTGTTCTCAGTGATACTGAGGACAGGACAAGAAGCATAGGGGTTATATTAAAACTACAGAGGTTTAGGTTGGACATGAAAAACTTCCTGTCAGGCTGCTTAAACACTTGAAAACAGTTGAGTAGGAAGATTATGGATTCTCTCTGATTGGAAGTTTTTAAGAGCTGCTAGACAACACCTACCAGCTAGTGGTTTGTCCTGCCATGAACACAGGAGACTGGACTAGATGACCTAGCAAGCTCCCTTCCAATCCTACACTTCTATGTTTCTCTGGTTCATTGGTCTAATCTAGTCTGGAAATTCCTGTGTTCCTAAGCCCCTCTTTTAATTATGATAATTATTTGTGTTGCCATAGTACCAATGAGTCCCAGTTTTTGACCAGGGCCCCATTGTGCCAGACATTGCACAGACACAGAAACCCCCCCCCCCCCCCAACCCCCTCCCTGCTCCTCAGCAGAAGATAGAAGACAGCAATTGGATACAGACAGGTGGGAAAGCCCAAGAAAACAATAAAATCATACCGGTAAATGTACTAGGCCATGGTTTCTGCACACAAGCAGCCAGACTGTTGTCAAATGTTGTGTAAGCACCACGGCAAAGGAGAGTTTTAAAGTGTGATTTGAAGGTGGATAATGAGGCGACTTTGTGAATTTGTGAAAATATAACAGGTGGGCAAAGGAGGCTGCAATCATGGGCTAATGAGCATTGAGAGTTCAGTATCAAAGCAGAAGTGATAGGTAGGGCAGGAATCAACTGTAAAAGGCTTTGCAAGTGAAGACAAGCAACGTATGTGTGATGCAATAGTTGACAATCTAAAGAGACAATACATACATACAGAGGAATCCTTATTGTCCCTGGTTTACAGCTGTGGAGCAAAGGCATTGAGAGGTTAAGGCTGATTTTGTCAAATGAGCTTAGGAGAATTAGGCACGTAACCACCATTAAAATTCTGTGAGAGCTTGATGAGTAACTTCTTTTGAGCTCCCTTGAAAATCCTAGGCTATATATCTTGCTCAGCATCACACGGGGAGCTTGTGGAAGAATTGGGAGTTGAACTGAGACCTCTTGACTCTTAATCCAGTGATTTACCAATTTAGTCCTCCATCTCCTGTATCTGTTAAGTGCAGCACCTTAGAACGTGAGCTGGCAAGTGTGTATGTGAGTGATCAGTTGTGTTTTGCTCTTCTGTTGTTTTTAGGTGGTAAGCTCTTGTTGGCAGGCCCTGGACCCATAGAAATCCATGCTCATTATATTCTGGTATCTGATGGCGGTGAATTCCAGGTGGGATCCCGTGATAAGCCTCTCCGGGACAAAGCACACATCATTCTCTATGGGAGCTTTCGTTCTGCAACCTTCTTTCCATATGGGGCCAAATTCCTGGCTGTGAGGAACGGGACCATTTCCATGCATGGTGAGTTGGAGGGGGTACAGTGTGGCTCTCTGTTTATGGTTAAATAAGCATTGATTGTATTTCTAGTTAAGACCGTGATTGAGATAACATCAGCTGTTTGGGGTGGCATTTGCAGATGGGGTCTTGCACCTGCTGTCGGGGTCAGAGTTTTAAAAGAGCTGAGCTCCCATTTAGGTGGGAGTTTGACCAGGAGTTTGACCCTAGATCTCTGCTCTCTGCTGTAAGTGGCCATATTTCCAAAGGCTATGACATGTTAGGTGCGGATCCCTTTTGCAAATCTGGCCAGAAGCAAGAGATGTGGGGTCAAGCCCTCACAATAGTCTGGGCCTTAGGTTCCTGAATGACAGGTGAGCACATCTGCAGATCTGCCCCCAGTCTTGAGTTTTGAGTTCTTGAAAACTGTACCTTTATGCTCTGGGCCATCACGCCTGCTGTGCGCTGCATGGGTCTGCTCTGGAAGTACAATGGTACAGGGGGTCTTTTTTTGCTCTACTGAGTTGTAGGACAGGATGTCTACTTAGTACAGGGGGATTGAGTGTAGACTTCTAGTTAAGAATCCTGGCCAGGCCTATGTCCAGCATGCTGCGGGCAACAGTACATCCAAGGTAGGAGATACATAATATTTCTAAAGGGACACTAAAGTGCACCAGGCAGCCTGCTCCCTCCTCCTATGCCCACGTCTGAACTGAGTCAGCAGTGTGAGACTGTTGGGAAAAAAAAGCAAATGTGATTCTGAGCTGCATTAACAGGAGTGTTGTGAGCAAGACACTAGGAGTCATTCTTTCTCTCTACTCTGGGCTGATTAGGCCTCAGTTGGAGTATTGTGTCCAGTTCTGGGCACTACATTTCAAGAAGGATGTGGAGAGATTGGAGAGGGTCCAGAGAAGAGCAAGAAAAATGGTTAAAGGTCTAGAAAACATGACCTACGAAGCAAGACTGAAAGAAGTATCTAAAAGGGTGTCACAAGGAGGAAGGAGAAAATTTGTTCCTCTTGGTTTCTGAGGACAGGACAAGGAGTAATGGGCTTAAAGTGCAGCAAGGGAGGTTTAGATTGGACATTAGGAAAAAATTCCTAACTGTCAGGGTGGTCAAATATTGGAATAAATTGCCAAGGGAGGTGGTGGAATCTCCCTCTCTGGAGATATTTAAGAACAGGTTAGATAGACATCTGTCAGGGATGGCGCAGACGGAGCTTGGTCCCGCCTTGAGGGGTCCCTTCCAGTCCTATGATTCTATGAACTGGTCTTGTTTAGTTTAGAAAAGAGGAGACATGATAGCAGTTTTTGAGTATGGGTGTAACAAGAAGGAGGGAGAAAATTTGTTCTCCTTGATCTCTGATGACAGGACAAGAAGCAATTGGCTTAAACTGCAGCAAGGGAGATTTATGTTAGACTTTAGGAAAAACTTCCTGTCAGGGTAGTTCAACACTGGAATAAATGGCCTAGGGACCAATGTGCCCTCTAAGGTGCGCACCTGCATGGTCGCGCACAAAACATGCTAAGCCTACACGCCTCCTTCACACAGCCGCACGGCAACACTCACCTTCCTGCTGGATCTGGAAGGTGAGTAGTGTGGCTACTCCCATGGCTGGAGTGTGGGGGCTGCTGCTGTGGCAGCTGGGGCTGTGTTGGCTGTTCTGGCTTCCACCGGCATTTGGCACTGCAGGTGGGCAGGTGGCTGCCACCAGGGTTTGGGGCAGTGGTCGTGTGGTAGTCTTGCAGCACCTTCAAGACTAACAAACATGTGGATGGTATCGTGAGCTTTCATGGGCACAACCTACTTAACAACTCTGCTCATCTGAAGAACTGGGTTGTGTGCCTGAAACCTCATGATACCATCTACATTTTTATGAGTCTCTAAGGTGCTGCAAGGCTGTTAGATGTTTTTTAAAGAATCAGATAAAGAGAGCAAAATCAGCATTTCTTCAGTCTTGGGTGGGACTGGATCTGCTCTCACACAGCTGTAAATTAGCAGTAGTGATAGGACAGGTATGCGAACAACTATTTACCCTTTTTTAAAAAGAACGGATGAATACGAAATAACATTTTGAGAGCTGCTTCACTTCAGGACTAGTTTTGGAGCTTACTTTGTAAATTTATACATTAGAAATGGAACCACTAAACTGTCCTTGAAGACAAAAATGTTGGGGTTTCATAGCTGTTGGGGGTATGCTTAATGTACCTAATATTCGATTTCATTCTCCCATACTTGTACTGAAATAAAAGAATCTTTAAAAATGGAAGGGAAAAGAGATTTTCTGTAGTAATCATAACCAGTGGAATACGGAAAATCTAAACATTCTTCAATACTGTACAAACAAAGCCACAGTTCATCTAAAGTGTACATGTCTATATTACTCTTAGCTTTAAAAAGAGTGCTGGGGGGAGGGTAAATGTTGTCTGATTTTGAACCAGAAATGAGAAGCTGCTGGTTGTGCTTCTAACAGTAACAATAACAGCACAGGCAGGAGGAATGCTGTGCAACTCTTCCTTTGTATTCTTCCTTGAAACATTATTAATCTGAAATTATTACTTTCTTGGTGCTCTGTGAAACTACTGACAATGACATTTTTACTACTAACTTCAGCCAAAGCTGTTGTCAAATGCATCCTTCATCTCCCAGTACTGGTACCAAGATTATTTACTAGCTTACCATAAGCTTCTTGTACTTCTGCCATAAATTACATATCAATAATAGTGCCCATTTCTGGTTACTCTTCCCAGGACAGGCCAGAAGACATATTCCGCTTTCCTCTATAGCTATAGTAAATAAAAGAAGTCCTATATTACATTAGTGTAATTTTGAGTCGGCATATCTCTTTGGAAGACCCAATGAGTTAACTGTAGATGCACACTGATAATAAATAATTCTCCCCAGCTAATGATTTATCTGGCTAGGATACTGTAGCAGTGTTTTAACTATACGCTGAAGACATTTGTCTAAATATCGAGCATGAATTGGCTCAGTGATGGCTCAGGTACATGTGATTCTGTTGTTGTCAGCGTGTGTGCACAGGGTTCTGAAAAGCTGCAATGTTTAGGCTGTTGCAGCTAAGTTGTCTGTCAGCAAGCTTGGCTATGTCTACACTGGTCACTGAACCACAAGGCTTATGTCCTTCAGAGGTGTTGCTCCTCACCTCCAAAGACAAAAGTTTTGCGGTGGCCAAATATCAGTGTGATCACTATGTGGTGTGCAGGAGCATACACTTACATTGCGTATACCCCTGTAACTAAGGCAGTGAGCAGTGAGCAAGCGACCAAGGAGCTTGCGAACAGGTGAGTGCTAACAGGGAGTTTAGAGAGGGAGTTCTCCAGGTAAAGGAGAAGCAGATACAGGACTCTTGAGGGAAGTGTGTGTTTTGTTTGGGGCTTTCTTGCTGTGTGCTGAGCTTGTGTTTGTGAGTGAGGATTGGTGTGTGTTTTTTTTGTTTGGTTGTTTGTTTATTCCCCTGTGATTGAGGCTTTTTATTTCCCTCCACTTCGCCTTTGCCCTCCTCCTCCCCTTCATGGAGTGTGTGCTGAGACTGGCAGGTGGAAACTGTTGGCTTCTAATTAAAGTTTGAATTCTAGAAGCCTCTTCTGATTGGCTGAGCCTTGGTAGGGGGAGAGACTTTCAGGCAGTCCAGGTCTTTATAAAGCAGTGAGCAACCGACCAAGGAGCTTGCGAACAGGTGAGTGCTAACAGGGAGTTTAGAGAGGGAGTTCTCCAGGTAAAGGAGAAGCAGATACAGGACTCTTGAGGGAAGTGTGTGTTTTGTTTGGGGCTTTCTTGCTGTGTGCTGAGCTTGTGTTTGTGAGTGAGGATTGGTGTGTGTTTTTTTTGTTTGGTTGTTTGTTTATTCCCCTGTGATTGAGGCTTTTTATTTCCCTCCACTTCGCCTTTGCCCTCCTCCTCCCCTTCATGGAGTGTGTGCTGAGACTGGCAGGTGGAAACTGTTGGCTTCTAATTAAAGTTTGAATTCTAGAAGCCTCTTCTGATTGGCTGAGCCTTGGTAGGGGGAGAGACTTTCAGGCAGTCCAGGTCTTTATAAAGCAGTGAGCAACCGACCAAGGAGCTTGCGAACAGGTGAGTGCTAACAGGGAGTTTAGAGAGGGAGTTGGGAAGGGGAGAGGAAAGAGCATGAGGTTCTCTTGCCTTTCTTTTTAAATCCCTTCTCCAGAACAGCAGGGATGGATGGTGATAGGTCTGCTGTTGTTACCTGCACAGAGTGTGCCATGTTTGTCTTCCTCCTGGAAGAAAGAACGGATTTCATCTGCACTAAGTGCAAGCTGGTCACCATTTTGGAAGAAAAAATTAGAGGACTGGAGGCCCAAGTGTTGACCCTACATTCGATCAGAAAGGATGAAGACTTCCTCGATAGAAGGCAGCGTTTAATCCTGCAAGCACGGCAGGCGGAAGAGCCAGAGATGGCAGTACAGGACCGGGAAGAGAATTGGCAGCATGTAACTTCTAGAAGGGGAAAAAGGCCAGCACAGGAATCCCCCAATGCTATAAAGGTAAGTAATCGCTTTCAGGCTCTCTCCACAGGCTCTGCAATGCTGAATGCTTTGGAAGGGACCTCACAAGGAAGAAACCGGAAGGGAACACCATCTACTGGAAGGCATGAGATGCGTAGTCCTAGGGATGGGGGTTCCATGACCACCATCCCCAAAAGAGGACGACGACGGGTGGTGGTGGTTGGGGACTCCCTCCTAAGAGGCACTGAGCCATCCATCTGCCGTCCAGACCTGGAATCTTGAGAGGTGTACTGCTTACCGAGAGCTCGTATTCAGGATGTGACTGAGAGGCATACCAAACTGATCAAACCTTCAGATTGCGACCCTTCCTGCTTCTGCACGTGGGAACTAATGATATGGCCAAGAATGACCTTGAGCGGTTACTGCAGATTATGAAGCTCTGGGAAGAAGGATCCAAGAATTCGGAGTGCAAGTGGTGTTCTCGTCCATCCTCCCTGTTGAAGGGAAAGGACTGGGCAGGGATCGTCAAATTGAGGACGTAAA